AAAGAAAATCTTGCTCACATCCATAAGTATATTTTTATATGATAAAAACAACTTTGTTCTTTTTTTCTCTATCTAAATAAAAATACTGCTTTAAGTTAAATGAGTCAAAAATTGGATGTAACAATCCTTTCTCACTAGCAAAAGCTATTTGAAGGGAAACACATAATGTTAAGATTTAAGTTGTATTTTCAATCCTTGGAAATATTGAGAGATGTTTACCATACGAAGTGTGCATTTGCTGGGTAGACAGAGACAGAGAAACACAAAGCAGAAATATCTCTCCAGAGGAGATGGCCACGTTGCAATCCCTTTTCCTCCATTCTCCTCTCAAGATTTTGGGCATGCACACAAATACGCCCAGTGTGAGTTTTAAGTGGCCAGGTCCAGGACTCGAGCCATGGTCAACTACGTGGGAGTCTGGCAACATAACCATTATGCCACCTGCTGGTTGCAATCAATACTTATCTTTATCTTTCCTTCTTTTGAGAGACAGAGACAGAGAAATTGAGAAAGCAAGCCACCAGGTCTGGGACTCAAACAGCGGTCAGTCATGTGGGAGTCGAGCCCCTCAACCACCACAACACTTGCTGGCCCTTCAATCCTTACCTTTAATAAAGAATTACTTTATTTATTTATTTGCATTTTAATTTGACCAGATAGGGACAGAGAGCAAACGTGAGAGCAAGACAGAGAGAAAGTAAGTCGCCAGATTTGGGACTCAAACTGCGGTCAGCCAGGTGGGAGTCCAGTGCCTTAAACCACAACACCTGCTAGCCCCAAATCCTTATCTTTTTTTTTTTAAAGAGGTTTTTGCTATAGGGCGCGTGCGCTCGCCAGAAAGACAAAGAGAGACAGAGAGATAGAAAGTGAGAAATCACCCCCTGGGGGGATGGCCACACTGTAATCCCTTCTCCTCCAGTTTCTCCTCTCAGTATCTTGGGCACGTTTGCACACACGCCCAACGTGAGTTTAAGCCACCAGGTCCGGGACTCGAACCGCGGTCGACTACATGGGAGTTCAGCGACATAGCCATTACGCTAACTGCTGGCCCCCCAAATCCTTATCTGTAATAAAAGCTAAAGTGGGTTGCAGATAATGATACCCAAAAAGTGATGCCATTTAAAAATACGCTTTTGTGAACATAGAATTCACAATGAAGTCAGAAGAGAAAAATCTAGCTAAACCACTCCTAAAAAAGTTTTTTGTTTGCCCATGATCATACCTCATTTATCTGAGAGTGCAGGGGAATGATAATTACTGTCATGCTTAACCTGTCTTATTTGGCTTGTCCTAAATAAACTCATTTTATTTTCAAGAAACTGACAAAAATGCTTTCTTAACCTTACATTTAAGTGTTGTTTAAACCTACTTGACTGATTTAATAGCATGGAAGACTTCAAGCATCTTCTCAACAATAAGCATTCGCAGGTTATCAAAGCGCTGAATGGCTTCACGAACAAACTCCAAGACATCAGCAGCTGCTGCTTCATTACTGTCACTGAGAAATTCCATTAACTAAAAGAAAAGGGAATAGGATTAATAAGTGTATAACTTTCAGAAAGAAAATTATGTAAGGCAAGAAATAAATGAATAAATTTACAAAAACTATAGGTACTAATTTTCAAATACATTACAAAATGTAAATTGAGACAAGTATTATTAATGCAAACGAAGTCACAATGACTTTTCTGTTCTTTGTTTGTTTTAATTGCTAAAGGGACAAAGAAGAAAAGTTAAAAAGCACTCCTTATGGGGAATGGTCCCACTGCAGTCCCTTCTACATTTCTCCTTTAGGGATTTTGTGCATGCAGATGCCCAATGTTTTTCTCAAGTCACTGAATCCAAGACTCAAATCATGCAGTCATGTGGAATCGTCATCTTAACTGCCATGTTACCAGCTGGTCTGATGTTTCTGTTATGTGTAGCAAAGTTTACAATAGTGGGTCATTAGAAGAGTCGTGATGCATGTTTGCATAGAAAAACACAGAAAAAGGTGTCAGGACTTTTCCAAGGACTCAATAAAACTCACTGTAAAAGAGAATCTAGAGGGCCAGCAGGTGGCACAGAGGTTAAGTTGTCTGGATCCTACATGGCTGACTTGGCAGTTCCAATTCCAGACCCAGAGGCTTGAAAATCATGCTAGTTTCATGTGCATGCAGGTCCAAAATTCCAGGAAGAGAATGAAGGAAGGACTACAGCAGGGCCATCTCTCTTGGGGGTGATTTCCCACTTTCCCCATTTCTCTCTAGCAAGTCCCCGTGCTCTACATCAAACTAAAAAATAAAGAGAGAGAGAGAGAAGCTAGAAATCCACAAGTCAAAATATATTAATTGGACACTCTTAAGTTTTAAATAAAAGTAAAATCATTTTAAAGAAAATTCAGAGTTCAAAGGTAAAGTTTTAAATTACAGTAACATATCTCATTTATCTGAAAGCAACAGAAAATATTTTAGGTATATAAATTTTTCCTATAAATAATTCCTTCAACGTTAAGAGCTTAAATTATTTGAAGGAAAGACTTACGTAGCTTACTGAATAATATACACAGGCAACATTTTACTTTACGTAACTGTAATAAACATCAATAAAAAATATAGAATTTTAAAAAATTGATTTATTATTATTACTATTTTAATTTGACCAGGAAGAGAAAGAGAAGGAAAGTGAGAAAGCAAACTGCCAGGTCTGGGATTCAAACTTAGGTTAGCCATGTAGGACTCTAGCACTTTTATAACCACGCCACCTGCCAGCCCAGAATTCTTCTTTTAATGGCTGTGTTTTTATTTAACTTTTGGGTGAAAATGTAAGAAAAAGATGTCAAGGTCCTTCAGAGCTTAATGGCAGACATAAGGATTCCTTCTGACCATGAGATTTAGTGGTTCCAGACAATTGAGGCTTCTGGAGTTTATTAAATAATTTGTATTTAAAAAAAAATATTTCAGAGATTTTAAAATTAAGGTTATCAGGATTGCATACCACAGGAATGACATTGGCAGCCATATCTGGAAATCGGACAGAACAGGAGTGCAATGTTCGCACAAGGAGTTGTCTGTATTTGTCGGTATCTTCATGCTCAGACACATTATTTGTTTTAATCACTTCCTTCTTCAGGACAATTACCAGCTATAGAATAAAGTAAAAGTAAGTGAGGATTACATTGTGTTTGGACTGATAGACTACAAAGTGCTGTCAGAGTTTTGCTTTACCTCTTCAACATTCCTGGAAGAGACAAGATCCAGGGCTAACTGCAGAGTTTTCTTGCGTACTTCTAAGTCTGGTGTGCTCAACACTCTTAAAATGTCCATAACCAGATCCTGGAAAGCAGTAAAGAATCATGAATTAATAGTAATCTTTCTAGTCACAAGAAGAAAATCTTTGTGGTAAAAGAAGTAGCTATTTTGAGTCTCCTGATACCCATTCAAACTCAAAATGTTAGCTTTGCCTTTCTTTTTCTTTTTTTGGAGAGGTTTTTGCTATGCACGTACGCTCACCAGACAGACAGAGAGAGAGACATAGAGACAGAAAGCGAGAAATCACCCCCCAGGGGGGATGGTCACGCCACAATCCCTTCTCCATTCTCCTCTCGGGATCTTGGGCACGCACGCACACGTGCCCGGCGTGAGTTTTAAGCCACCGGGTCCGGGACGCGAACCGCGGTCGACTACATGGGAGTCCAGCGGCATAGCCATTACGCTAACTGCTGGTCCCACTAGCCCCTATGCTTTATATTTAAAAAAAATTCCAGGGGCTGGCAGGCAACGTGGTGGTTAAGGCAGCTGGACTCCCATAGGGCTGACTGAGATTCGAGTCCCAGACCTGGCAGCTTGCTTTCTCACTTTCCTTCTGTCTCTCTCTCTCTGGTCAATTTCAATATTAAATAATAATAATAATAATAATGATAAAATAATGACAATGAATAAAGTTAAACAAAATAATTATTAAAAAAATTCCAAACTGACAGAAAAAGAGTGAACTCTTATATAACCTTTATCTATGTTTACCAATTACTAATATTTTGCCACATTTGGTTTATCATACTATTTTCTTTTTACTACTAAACATTTAATGGACTAATAAAATTTCTTATATAACCACAATATAATTATTAAATTCAGAGAATTTGATAAGAACTATTAAGTAATAGACAGCCTGCATTCACAGTTCTCCCACTGTTCCAACACTGTCCTCTACAGTTGTTCTGACCTAAGATCAGCACTGCCTTTAGCTGCCACGGGATTTTATTTTTATAACCATCGTTATTCTCACGAATTAAATAGATATATTGATAATTTTCTAAAATTTGATCTTCCCAATTGGTATAATTATTTTCTAAGAAATGTTAATTATATTCAAATTAAAATGCATATATCACTGTTGCTAAGAATATTATAGAGCATTAATAAGAAAAGATAAAGTATATTAATTTATTTTAGGACTACTATTTATGGCAGACAATATCCCAAAAGACTATGGTGATTTAAGAGTTATACTTGAGCAGATCAAAAAAAAAAAGTTTTTCTTTTTGTAGAGGTTTTTTTGCTAAAGGGTACACGCACTTGTCAGAAAGACAAAGAGACAGAAAGCAAGAAATCACTCCCTGGGGGGGATGGCCACACCGCAACCCTTTCTCTTCCATTCTCCTCTTAGGATCTTGGGCACGCAAGCACATGGGCCCAACGTTAGTTTAAGCCACTGGGTCCAGGACTTGAACTGCGGTCGACTACATGGGAGTCCAGCGACATAGCCATGATGCCAACTACTGGTCCCAAGTAGATCAGAATTTAAACCGCTCAGTCTTCTAGCCCTTAAGTTAACCAAGATGGTAAGGCCTGAGAATGATCTTAATCTACAAAATATTTTATTTAGGATTTCTCTCTTTTAGACACTTACCTGCAGTACTCGTTCATGGGCAGGATGTTCTTTTAATTCTATTAATCGATCCAGTACAATAAGCTTTACATTGTTGTCGCTCTCCTTAATAATTAAATCAATGTAACACTGAGCAGCAGCCTATATAAAAAAAAAAAAGACATTTTAATACTGTTGTAAAAAATCTGAAGGTAAGCCAACAAAAAGGATAGTCCCCAAGAAGCCAAACTCAGTAACACCTGCACTAGAATTTATGCATATTGTTCAGAGGAAACCCACATTCTTCTTCCTAAATTTTCTATAGATGCTATCTTTCAAGCTCATGAAAGATCAAAAGCATTACAAATTCAAAGGATTTTGCTGCAATAGGAAGAAATACTAACTTCCAAAAAGGAAGGGTTGAAACTAAGGAATGAAGGAAAAAAAAAAAAACAAAAAACAAAGGCAGACAGAAAATCTCAAAAACTATAGTTATTAGCATGTTTCAGTTTAGAAGCAAAGTCTAACACATCTGTATGCCAGTAAAGAAAGAAAACTATGAAGATGATTCTGGGGAGGGATCAGCAGTTGAAGTAATGGCTATGTCGCTGGACTCCCACATAGTTGACTGTGGCTTAGTCCCAGACCCGTTGGCTTAAACTGATGCTGGGGGCATGTGCGTGCATACATGCATGTGTGCCCAAGACCCCGAGAGGAGAATAGAGAAGGGGTTGCAGCGTGGCCTTCTCTACTGGGGGGTGATTTCTCGCTCTTTGGTGAAAACCTCTCCCTCCCAAAAAAGGATGATTCTGGGGAGACAGTAGATAGTGTAATGGTTATGTCACTGGGCTTCCACATAGTTGATCGCAGTTCAAGTTCCAGACCCAGCAGCTTAAAACTCAGGCCAGGTACATGTGTGTGCATGCCCAAAATCCAGAAAGGAGAATGGAGGAGAGGGGATTGTGGCATGGCCATCCCCCGGGGGTTATTTCTCACTTTCTGTCTGTGTCCCCAGTGAGGGTGCACACCCTATAGCACAAATCTCTTAAAAAAAAAAAAAAGTGATTCTGAGTTATTAAAATATTTTAGCGAGTATGTAAGACATTTATTAATAAGACAAAAAATGTCTGAAGTATTTTAGAATGATGAAGTTTAAAAGCAATTGAGAAAGGTGTGAATCTGGAAGACCTCTCCTTAGCTAAAGCTAGAACAATTTGATCAACAAAATAAATAATACTGGTTTATGATCCATAACATAAAATATTCATACCAATATTAAGAAAAAAAAAGGAAAGGAAGACAAACAGTAGTTCTTCCTTGCATAAGAATTTTAATTACTATGTGCAAAATCAGGGAAACAGAAAATCACTATCATACTACCTTAGTAATAATTGTTAAGAGAAAAACCATTGATAGATGCAATAATTTTTAGAAATAAATTTGAGGAGCAATAGAATATTTCCATAGTTTCAAAGTATCTCCCCCACAATATTTATTGATTACACTGGCATAAATCATTAAGAGTGGAGAAATCTAGTGGATACTACTTTCAAATTACTGATCTAGGCTGACATCACCAGTAATAAGATATATAGGCATCATGTACCACTTGACATCATATGCTGAGAGGGACATTCACTTCCGTGGTATTCTTCTCTAAAACATACAGCCTCAATCCAACTAAGAAAACACTGGATGAACCCAAATTGAGGGGTATTTTACAAACAAACTGGTATTCATGTGTCAATATCATGAAAGAAAGGAAAGGCTGAGGAATTATCACAGAATGAAGATGACTAAGATGTGATAATTAAATGTCATTTGTGGAAAAACTGGTGAAATTTGAATAAAGGCTGTAGTTAATTATATTGTTCCAATATTAATTTCTTCATTTTCACAATTATACAATAGTTATGTAAGATGTGAACATTATAGGAAGCTAGGTAATATATATGGGAACTTTGTCCTAATTTTACAACATTCCTGTAAATTTAAATTTTTTTCAAAATGAAAAGTCAAAACAAAATTTAAGTATTGGTGGGTATAGCAGTAAATTATATTGCTATAATCTGGCTTCCTAGAACAATTCATTCTCTGAATAAATTATGGATTTCTGATAGTCTTTAAAGAGTAAAAAAGAAGAGAAAGATAATATTCTATTATTAAAAATTCTCGCTGGAACTTTTTAAAGGTTTATCATTTAGGATTCATACAATTTTTCCTCGATCCAGTTTTTAATGCAATTAAAGTCTGGAAAGAGATATTAAAATACAAGTTATCATTCTCCAGAAATGAGCAATACTGTTGTTCTGATTTTTTTTCTGACACTCTGTCTATGTATATGTGAAAACAGGAAGGAAGAAAAGAAAGGTCAGAATATGAAAGGAATCAAAGAATTTTATAAAATGTGCGGCTTTTCTGTCATAATCACACAGTAAATTGCAATGTTAGTAATCATGAGTGACAGAAAGCTTATCTGTCATCCAATATGACCTCCAAAGAAAGGAGCAGTACCTTGATTGCAGTTGGTGCACTAGACAGTGTCACTAACGTCCCAGCTGCTTCATATTTTACAGCGGGGCTAGATGACTGCAGTAAGTTATAGATGCAGCGAATGAAACGAGCCCTTTCTGATGGGTTAGCATGACAGACCTGGAAGAGAAAATATTTAGTTGTCAGCAGATTTCAGGAACACTTGCTTTTAAGTGGAATTGTTTATATGGATGTTAGCTTATGAGATGTTAGTTTCCTTAATCTAAAAGCCAACAATATTTCTGTAAGTGCATATGAAAATATCAGCCAGTATGGAGTAAGACTGATACAATACTGGCAACTTCAGAAGAGAGTTTTATTTCAAATAATTGTTACATCTACATATTCATTTAAATTATGTCGTAATTTATATTTTACTCCTTCAAAAAAGATTTTATTGGATGGCCTGTAATGAAAGATATACATATTATATAGAAGTGAAAGAAAAAATATAAACTAAACCAAGGACACATTAACCAAGTACAATAATATGTGCGCTATGGTAGACAATAAATTTTTATTCTAGATGCCATGTTAAGAAAAGAAACACAATGTTGGTGACATGAATCTTAATAGTTGATAAAAGAAAAATACCAGTTCCACAAACAAGAAGGAAAACCTTTTTTTCTAAATATAACTTCCTATCACTTAAAATCATATTCAATACTGAAGAGGAAACTAAAATTTTCTTTCCTATTTTAAATGTATCCTGATACCTTGTGAAGCAAATGTCCCTTATTTTTTCTCTTGAAGTTAGAAGTCATATTAGATTTTCCTAAAATATATACAGTCAGTATCTTTTAAGTCAAAAGCTATTCCTCTTGCAATATATGGGAGGCTGAGGTAGGAGGATTGTGAATTCTGGCTAGGCAATATAGCAAGACACTGTTTCTTAAAAAAACAAACAAAAAACCAAAAAACTGATAAACCCTTTATATTACAGTGATTAAGTAGCAACCCAGAAAGAGACTATTTAAACCTTGTCTTCAACTGCCCAGTTTATTTTACCCAGCACAAATTATCTGTCTTACCTTATAAATTAGTTCAACAATAACCAACTGCAGAATGTCTCCAAATGTTTGAACTTGATCAATGCAAGTACTTAGGTAATCTAAAGCACGATCCTAAAAAAATAATGTCATTTATTAAACCCCATTCAATATAAAGTACTACTTAGGAAAATATGCATCACAACTACATATAAAGCAAATAAGGAGATCAGGGCAAAGAAAAATAAATTGGAAAAAATAGAAGAAACGAAAAATGAAGTTAACACATAGAAGGTAAGCTATAAAGTACATTTTCTACAAATGGAGCACAAACCAAGGCTCTGAATTTCCTAATAGTTAAACCAAACAGAAAAACACTATACGTTATATGATGCAGGAGTTTGCTCAGGAGCATAATTAGCTGCTTAAGAGTATAATTATTACTATTACTATACGTAAAAGAAAAATATTTTCGGGACCAGCAAGTAGGGTAATGGCTATGTCGTTGAACTCCCATGTAGTTGACCACGGTTCACGTCCCGGACCCGGTGGCTTAAACTCATGCCAGGCGGGTGTGCGTGCGTGCCCAAGGTCCCGAGAGGAGAATGGAGAAGGGATTGAGGCGTGGCCACCCCCCCGGGGGGTGATTTCTCGCTTTCTATCTCTCTGTCTCTCTGTGTGTTTCTGGTGAGTACACACACCCTATAGCAAAAACCTCTCAAAACAATTTTTTTTTTCTTTTAAGCAACTTTAGATCTATACCATCATAACGAAAAGCAGGCGATCAAAACCTCAAACTAGAGTACCACAGAATATATTCATAATTTCAATCTGTTAACTATACAGTGGTGGGACCAGCAGTTAGTGTAATGGCTATGTCACTGGACTCCCACGTAGTTGACCACGGTTCGTGTCCCGGACCTAGTGGCTAAAAACACCAGGCATGAGTGCGTGCATGCCCAAGATCCCGAGAGGAGAATGGAGGAGAAGGGATTGCGGCATGGCCATCCTCCCTGGGGGGGCTTAAACTCATGCCAGGCGGGTGTGCGTGCGTGCCCAAGGTCCCGAGAGGAGAATGGAGAAGGGATTGAGGCGTGGCCACCCCCCCGGGGGGTGATTTCTCGCTTTCTATCTCTCTGTCTCTCTGTGTGTTTCTGGTGAGTACACACACCCTATAGCAAAAACCTCTCAAAACAATTTTTTTTTTCTTTTAAGCAACTTTAGATCTATACCATCATAACGAAAAGCAGGCGATCAAAACCTCAAACTAGAGTACCACAGAATATATTCATAATTTCAATCTGTTAACTATACAGTGGTGGGACCAGCAGTTAGTGTAATGGCTATGTCACTGGACTCCCACGTAGTTGACCACGGTTCGTGTCCCGGACCTAGTGGCTAAAAACACCAGGCATGAGTGCGTGCATGCCCAAGATCCCGAGAGGAGAATGGAGGAGAAGGGATTGCGGCATGGGCATCCTCCCTGGAGGGTAATTTCTTACTTTCCATCTCTCTCTGTCTGTCTTTCTGGTGAGCGCACACACCCTGTAGCAAAAACTTCTCAAAAAAAAAAAAAAAAAAAAAAAAAAAAAAAAAAGAA